CTTACTGTGCTTTGAACGTCTTTGGAAAATAATTTAACTAACGGTCTTTAAAAATTTTCTCGGCCCATATAAGATCCTCTCATGGTACACCAGTGTGTCACGGCACACCAGTTTAAAAATCACGGGATTAGGTATTTTTGTTATATCTGTTTCACAGATGGAGAGAACTAGGGTAGAGGAAGAAAGTGATACATCTGAGGTCACACGCTCATGTGGTTTTGACCTGAGTCTGTGCTCCCAACAAGTATTAATACCTTCTCCCGATTCTCTTCCTGCCACCTATCCATTTTCCTTCTTTTATGTAGCATTCTTTTGACATGTTCTGGTTTCTCTTTTCATTAGTATGTATCTCATAAACCCCACCATTATTACCAATGGTCACCCTCTCACAAGAAGGTGAGCTGTAATTTTATAAATACCAGTCCTACGATGATGAGAATTATTTCTCTTACAGTGAGACACGAAAATTCAGATAGAGGAGAAATATGGATCTGGACCAGAGAATGTGAAAGTAACTTTTAAGTTAGTATTTTTTAACTCAATTATTTAAAAAAAGCTTCAAAATGACCTAGGTATAATAGTAACTTAAGTTACTGTGAACTAGGTAAAAATTTAGGTTACTCTGGCTGACTTAGATGTCCTGTATCTTTGACAGCAAGAGAACTAATTATTTGCCCCTGATTAATTTCCATGCATTATTTATTGTGTTCTTTTTAATATTTATTTTTCTTTCAAAACTCTTTCCAGAATGATATAATTAGTTAAGTGCTTTAATTACTAATATCCTTTAGAAATGTTTTCCTCTGTTCTCCATTGGTCATACTTTTAAAATATCTTATTCAACCAAACTAAGAGGAGGCCAGCAAGGGCATCCACAGGCACAAAATTTAAGGAGGCACTCAATGTCAAGTACTGACCATGCACTTACAGGACCCTGAAAACCAGTGCTTCCTTAACTGGAGCCATCTGGGACTTGGCTTGCCTCATCCCAGTCCCAGCCGTGTATTAGAACACATCATATCACAATATAAACTTTTGGGATTTTTTTCCTAATATGCAGCATGTAGTTTTAATTCCCCGTAAGGGGTGTAGAATGTGAAATTGAAGAGGAATGTCCCAGGGTAGTGGCATTGAAAACTGGCATTGCTATTACTCAAGCTTCCTGATTATAATTTGGTGATTATAATTGACTTTTTTTTTTTTTTTTTTTTTTTGCAGTTTTTGGCCAGGGCTGGGCTTGAACCCACCACCTCTGGTATATGGGGCTGGCGCCCTACTCCCTTGAGCCAGAGCAGCCCAACTGACATTTATTTTATAATTGAAATTTGTTAAGTTACCTATGACAGTCAGATAATATTAGCCACAAAGAACAGGTGCCAGTTTGCGTTTTCCAGGTGAGACCTTTTGGGGCGGGTGCAACACAGACTGCCAAGGCAGTGAGGAGATTTTTCAGGGGCTCGCAGAGGGTCGCAGCCAGATTATCTGATTTTGTCCCTTATGTTCTTCCAATATATACACAGTTTTGCACGCTCTTTACCTTTGGTCCCAAGGTCCTCTTGTCCTCTGGTGGATGGTCCAAGCCTCCCACCCTGGTGATTCTCTTAGGGACGCCCTTCTCTGACACACTCATACTTTAAATTCTTCTTTCAAGATTTACCCCGATGAAAGTTTCCTTAAACTGGTAGTGGCAAGAAAGCAATCTGATTAAATAATTGACCTCATGTGAGCTTGCTTGTGAAATAAACTTGTTGAAACCTCAACCACTGTCTGCTTGATTTGGGCTGTGTGGAAGCAATTCTGTGGGTTACTTTACAAGATTCCAGGGCAGGCCGTGCTCCCCACAAGTCATACTGCCCATCAAGGATGAGCAGCCAACATACAACTTCTGAAAGTTTGCCAACCATAGTGTAGAAAATATTCCTGGATATATACTTATTTTGCAGGTATATGGTAGATATAACTGTACCTTCCAGCATCTTCCCCATCCCCAAACCTGAGGACAGACCGGCAAAGAGGTTTAAACATAACCCGGGGAAGATCTTAGGCGTGTATCTGTTCCCACATGAGACAGTACTGGTGGGATCTTGTAGATGGAGATAGATATTCCTTATTTAGGTTCAGAGTTAAAATAAAAGCTACAGAAATTCTTATTAAATTGATTTCACACTACCCTGCAATTTTAAGTTATTTCAGATTGCCTTACCTAATGTGGCCTCAGGGAATCATCATGGAAACTCCCTTTGAACAAATAGCACAGCCGCTCAGACAAAGCGCTGCAATCAATGTGTAAGAGAAGTGTGACAGATGAGTGTAAGGAGCGTGTTTGTTTGTTTAGAGACAGAGTCTCACTTTGTTGCCCTCGGTACAGTGCTGTGGCGTCACAGCTCTCTGTAACCTCCAGCTCCTGGGCTTAGACAATTCTCTCACCTCAGCCTCCCGAGTAGCTGGGACTACAGGTGCCCGCCACAATGCCTGGCTATTTTTTGGTTGCAGTTTGGCCTGGGCCAGGTTCAAAGCTGCCACCCTCAGTATACAGGGCTGGTGCCCTACCCACTGAGCCACAGGCGCCGCCTATAAGGAGCTTTTTAACATAGTACACTGTTCACAAAGTCAACAAAGACAATTTCCTCCAAGCAATTGAATGTTTTGTACATTCATTTGCAAGTTTCTGTTAATAAAGAGCTCCATTCTTAGAAGCTGGGAGTAAAGATGTGTTTTTAATTAACTTAATCTATATTATATAGAACAAAATTTGGCTATACCCCAAGTTCCAAAATGGTAGACATATGAGAAGTATTATACAAATATTTGATGCCTATCTGCTGGATTTTTTATGCCTCTGTAATTTATTCACAATTATTAATCTTTACTGCCCAGCTCCCTTTGATACTCAAATATATACACAGTAATCTGTTGCTTAATGACAGGGACATGATCTGAGAACGGTGTTGTGGGCTGGTTTGTTGTGAGAATATCTTCGAGTGTAATTTACACAAACCTACAGGACAGAGCCTACTGCACAACCAGGCTATGTGGGGTGGCTTGTTACTCCTAGATACAAACTTGTACAGCATGTTACTGTACTGAGTCCTGTAGGAAATTACAACACAATGGTCTTTATGTACGTAAACATATCTAAACATAGAAAAGGTACAGTAAAAATACAGCTTGGAAACGAAAATGGGACGCGTGTGAATGGAGCTGGCAGGACAGGAAATTGTTCTGGGCCAGTCAGTGAGTGAGTGGTGAGTGAATGTGAAGGCCAAGGCCATCCCTGTACCCGGCGATAGATAGACAAGATAAACACCAGACGCTTAGGCTGCAATGAAATTTTAAAAATATATTTTCTTCAAAAATAAATTAGCCTTAGCTTGCTGCAACTTTATTGCATTATCAGTGTCTAATTTTTTTTAAGTTTTGGCTCTTCTGTAATAACACTTAGCTTAAAACACAAACGCATTATAGAGCTGTACAAAAATATTTTCCTTCATTATATCCTTACTCTATAGCCATTTTTTTTCCTTCTTTTTTTCCTTCTTTTACTTTTTGAACTTTTTTTGTTAAAAGCTAGCACACAAACACACCTCTTAGGCCACACCGCACCAGGATCATCAGCAACTCTGTCTTCCACCTGCACATCTTGCCGCACTGATGGCGTCCAGGGGCAGTCACACCCGGGGAGCTGTCATCTCCTGTGATAACCAGGCCTCCTTCTGGAATGTCTCCGGACGGACGTGCTGGAGGTCATGCTACACTTCACGTTTTTTAAGTCGAAGGAGTACACTGTAAAATAATGAGAAAAAGTACATTGTAATAAACCTATAAACCAGTCACGTAGTCATTTATTATCAATATCAAGTGTTATAGGTTGTACAGAAGTGTATGTGCTGTACTTTGCTGTGACTTGTAGGGCAGTAGGTTTGTTTACACCCACATCACCACAAACAAGTGAGAAATGCATTTCCCTACAGCGGCTACAGTGTCACTAGGTCCTAGGAAATTTTCAGCTCCATTATGATCTTACGGGACCATTATTATATATGCAGCCCATCATTGACCAAAACAGCCTAATGTGGTACATGGCTACACACAGACACACACACACAAAATTTCACTTACATCAAATTATATTCACCAGGTTAGTTTACACGTAGTTACATTTTAAATTATGTTAAATTACACTCTAGTGCAGGAAAAGTCAATAAAATTAATAATGATAATGGTACAGAAAGGCCAAAGTGAACTATGGTGCTGTTTTATAATATTTGGGTAACTATTTTGCAACTTCCAAAACTTTAAACTGAGCCCTTCCTAAAACAAAAACCAAGTAATACATACAAAGGGTGTAAATTCCATGTCATAATCTGTTTTGTAATTTGACAGTTTTAATAAGGATGAAAAATAGCCTTGATAAATAAAAAATAGCATTTCACTTCTTTTTGGCTTGTAAGGGATGTAAAGCTGATGCTGGTTTCCAGACAGTTATTTGGGGGCTCACAGCCTTGTATTGACAACCAATTTTCTCCTCCAAGGATGTGGAAGAACCAAAAATAGGTGAAAGAAACCTCGGTAATAAAGCAACACAACACACATGCCATCATCATGTTCTGAAGAAAATAATAAAATAACATTCGTCTACAGATCACATTTAATCAGATCTCCATCTATTACAAAAATGAGTCTGATAGCCATGTACCTTTGAAATGCAAATACTGATCGTGCCCTTTTCTGATTCATAAATTACAGAAGTATTATTTGAAACCACACACACCCCCCATCCCAGTGAGCGTCCCAGAATGCCTCTTTCTATTTAATCTTTTTGAGCAGAAGAATCGAGGAACTCTGAGCAGAGCAGACCAGCCATGCGCTCTCTCACGCCCTCTGTAGGCCAGGGCGTGTGGTGTTGCTGTGATGCTGTTAACTTACGCAGGTGCCGCTTTCTTCTTTACCGCTGCTGCCTCCCGGGGATCCCACTGCTGCCCTCTGGGCCACCTCACTAGCCATCAGGCAACGTCTGGGTGACCCACGAAGAAATGGAAAATCTTGCAGCTCCAGCAAAAACGGTTAGTCTGTATGGCTTTGTTGAACTTGAAGAAAAGTTATTTGGCTGCTAGTTGGATGGAAAAATCCATTTGGTTACTATAGACCAGAGCAATAAGGTGTGTTTGTATAGTTATAGGCAAAGATGCCTTTTTATACTGTTTTAGGTGAGCGTACTTACTTGACATTTTTAAATGAGGCAGTGCTAGATAATGTGGTTAATAGAAGAATCTATAAGGTGCAAACAGTAAGCAAGAATTCAGTGAAACTTATTTATCCATTCTGCAACATTAGAAATCTTTTGTGACAGATATTACTTAGCGTGTTGGGTAGAATCAACCAACATACTAAGTAAGTTTCTAAGTCAAACTAAACCAGTATTTAAAAAGTTTAGATTGAATACTCATTTTTAATATAATCATGTAGTTTTTTGTGTTTTACCTTCTGGAAAATAGAGCTTAACAAAAAAAAAAAGAAAGAAAGAAAGAAAAGAAATATTATGTTTCTTTGATATTCTGAAGTACAGTTCTCAAGAACTTCACGGGGACTTTGTCACCTTTTATAAATATATTTTATAAATGTAGCTGTTTTCCGTAAAGTGACAAAGTCCAGCAGATTATGTATATTACCTTTAGCAACTTCTTAATCTAATGTCCTTTCAGTTTCTCTCTCTGACAAATATTGATTATGTACAAATTTATGGTGGATAAAAATGCCAGTGCCGGGTAAATAATTTCATTTTTAGCTTATGTTTGTTGTACTTGGTTGTTAGCTTTTTTCCTTTTGTTGGCTATTGTGAAAGTCTATCTGATTACCATAAGCTTTCTTAGAGGGATACAGTTACTTTTCTCAATTAACTTAAACTACGTAAGATCTTTCTATCATCTATACATTTATGTATATATAAGCAGAATTTTTTAAGAATAGCCCATACCCTTTGGAAATCTACACTTTTAACAATTAAAAAAAAGTTTGGAGTGACCAGATCAAAATTCCCAAAAGCATGAATTTAAAATTTACAGTGGAATTAACTATGGTATAATCCTATGATTTCCCTTAAGCTGCAAAACTGATCACTATGGATCTGAATAAGAAGCTGCGTATTTATCTGCCTGTTCCATAATCATTAACACCTTGTGTAACATTTTGCTTCTGCTAAAAAAATTGGACTGTAATCACTTGAAATTAATTTGTATTTACCTGCTCTATTAATCATTTCCTGCTGCTAACACAGAAAGAATCTGAGGAAGGAAGCTGGGCTCAGGTAGGAAATTCAATGCTTTAAGACAGTATCATTTAGTAGTTTATGAGGTTATAAATTAAGAAGCTAGTATAAGTGATAATATTATAAATCTTCACTTAGCTCAATATTAGCCTGATATGTATATGTAAATCTATGTTATATTTAATGCTACTTTTGGGGGCATCCAACCTGGTCTGCAAGTCACATGCTGATTTTTGTGAGGACCCTTTTTGCTGTATCTGTGGTGTCAACTATCAAGAAAATTATGCACAGACTTAATCAGCTTTTGTTAGTTTATGTGTATTGAATGTGCGGCCACACAACTCATGTTCCTCTAATGTAAAGCAAAGAAAAGAAACGGTTGATGGTTTTTTTTTTTTTATGTTATTCTATTTTGCAAATAAGATGATTATCATTTCACTTGGACTCAAATTTTAAGATGATCATTTTCTTCCTTCCCGCAAAAGTATGATCTGTAACTTATATTTCTCTGAATATATTTAATTAGGAAACATTCACATTGGATCTAAGGGGGAATAAAAAGAAAGAAAAGACTTATTTGGAGTTCCATGTGCTTTAAGGTATAATGAAAAGTGTATGAGGAGGGGTTGGAGACAGACCACAGGTTAGAATCACCCCCACGTATTAAGGGGACCGTATGAGACCAGCATCTGTACTTTGAAGAAATAAATATCTGCAAGGAAGCTGTGTATTTTTTCAACATTTCCCCATGTTAGACAACTTAAAAAATAAAGACATATTATATTTAATTTGCTTTAAACCTCTCAATATAAAAAAATAATTGATAGTTATATTAGGACCTGTTTTTAAACATGCAGTAACTTAGGGTTGCATTAGATTCCGATTTTGGTAACAATTCTGTCATTCTTAAAGAAGACAAAAAAATATGAGTCTGGTAAAACCTAGAGTTTTATCAGAAATGCTGGTAATTGTTAAGTTAGGGCTGAATAAGGAACGGAACAGGAAACTATAAAATTAATAGAGAGTGATAGCTTTTTAAAAAAACTGGTTTCCTGTTCCTGGTTGATTGGAGTTTCATTTTAGCTGTTTTGAGCAGTATGTAGTATCAGTTCATATTGTTACAGTAAACAATTACACTGTCTTGTTCATTTTCACTCATGACCTACTTCCTTAATGAAGGACTCTAAATTGATTGACTTCTAGAAAAGACTTTGATTCTTTCCAGTGATCTTTCCGGAATATGGACTACGTGCACCGCTAGATAATAACAATGTCCATAGAGAGGTTCAGTATTCTGTCTCTTGAACCTCTCTGCGTCTTCATTTGTTTACTAGGATTTTATTTCACATCAAATGTTGCCATTACACTGTAGCAATGACAGCAGTGGCATTGATAAGACAGAAATCGTGTAGTATTACCTGTCAGAAACCAATAAATAAAATAAACCTATCAATATAGAAAATCTTAAAGCTCAGACTTCTTATAACTCTAATTTCTTTATTAACCAAATACACGTTCAGAAAAATATAATTCCTTTTGAGAATACAAAATGAACAGTCCCTCATTTTCAGTATCTTGATAATTGTATGGAGAGTTCCATATTATACCGAAGCAAGGAAAATACAGGCTAAATATTATTTCTGCTTTGTTTACATATATCAAAGCAATTAAGCATTAGTTTATATATGATTGGACAGTGATATGTACTATTCTCCTATGACCATCTCATTTTATTGGTTAAAAAACTTGACTGCTATAAAACAATTCCAGTGTCCGGTTTTTCTGCAGACCCTGGCTTACGGGGATATGAACCACGAGTGGATTGGGAACGAGTGGCTTCCCAGCCTGGGGTTACCGCAGTACCGAAGTTACTTTATGGAATGCTTGGTCGATGCGAGAATGTTAGATCATCTAACAAAAAAAGATCTCCGTGTGCATTTAAAAATGGTGGATAGTTTCCATCGGTAAGTTTTTTGCCCAAGAAAAATTAAAATGAAACAAAATGCAACAGTTACTCAAAAAAAAAAAAAGGAGGGTTAGAATCTAGAAAGTATGTGGTATTTGAAACATCTGTGCACATCTACTTGCAAAAACATTTTCATGTGGCGAATTACAGGGACCATCTAATGTAGAGCTGCGTGCATATTATGTGCCCAAAGTGTATGGAAATATATGTGCACAAAATTGCAATCAAACACAGTGTCCTGTTTTAAGTTGTTTACCATCTAGCATGTAAAGAAGGGCTTCTTTAAATAATGTGTCATACACACTATTTTTTTATTAGGTAAAGGAAATGTCAGCTGGATTTTGATTGTTTCATATAGTTGATTATGGCGGTAAATTAATAAATCTAAATTTAGATACTTTTGGCTTAGGAGACTCCATTTGGTTCTATTTAATCCAACATTTAATTTAATCAGTGACTAAAATGAAGATGATATAAAAACTAGATATTTTGGTGACATAAAATTACCATAAATAGATAATAATTGGGCCTTTTCATTCCAACTCAGGGAAATATTTTTGATTTTAATGCAGTTTTTAACACTGTTGAATTAAATTTGGTGGAGATAAACATAACAGTTTTTTTAAAAAAACTATTAAAATAAGCAGCACCTGTGTTTCAGTGAGTAGGGTGCTGGCCCCATATACCAAGGGTGGTGGGTTCAAACCTGGCCCTGGCCAACCTGCAACAAAAAAATAGCTGGGTGTTGTGGTGGGTGCCTGTAGCCCCAGCTACTTGGGAGGCTGAGGCAGGAGAATCGCCTAAGCCCAGGAGTTGGAGGTTGCTGTGAGCTGTGACACCAGAGTGATAAAGTGAGACTCTGTCTCTTAAAAAAACTATTAAAATGCTGGATGGAGAATTTATGATTTGATAGCAGCTTTTGTTAAAAGGATCTGGAATTTATTGTTGACACAAAAATCTCAAGGCGTGAATAAAAGATACAATGAAAGGGTCATGAGGTGATATAACTAAAAATGTACTTGTGGGCACTAAGTTATTACTGATAAACTGGTAAAAAGCTGGTGGAATACTTGAAGAAATTAGAGAGATTTAGCTGGAGTGCAGGAAGATTTATGTAAGTTATCATATGTTGTAAGATTGTTATGTGGTAAAAGACAACATTTTCCTCTGTCAAGCGTGTGCTTTTCTACAGCGTGAGTTTGTACAGGTGTAGATCCGAGGGTGAGCAATTTCACTAAAGAAAGCAAACTTCGTACCAATCCCAATTGCCATATATCGTGACATTGTCAGGTAGTGAGTGAGTCTCCGGGAACTGAAAGGTTAGACCCAATTTTGTGTGGTTCCGCTTGACTTTGATTTAGAACTTGTGACAACACGCTGGGTCCAGTTTTCTCATCCTTCCCTAGATTGGCGTTTAGTACAGCTTTATTACTTTAGTGAAAATGATTTTTATAATGATCAAAGTTTTAAAAATGACTCAAATGGCAAGGTTTCCTGTTTGTTCTGGGAAATCACACAAGTTTCATATTCCAATTTTACGCTAGTCTCTGACTTGGAGCAGGGAGTGACTGCGCGCGGCTGCACCCCATTTTCAGCTGGGGTTTCCATAGGAAAGACGTCTCAGGATTGTGTTCTCTCTGTGCCGTTTCATATTCCATACAACTAGCCAAGAACCATTAGTTTAATCTGGAGCTGCCTAATCCCTGTGCCTGTTGTTATACAAGTACTATTTGGTATTCCATGGAAAGAGTTTGCCAGGAATGCCATAACAACATGCCACAGACGGGCTGGCTTAAATCACAGAGATTTATTTTCTTGTGCTTCTGGAGGCTGAGGTTTAGAGATCCAGGCATCGAGGCACTGGTTTCTTCCGAGGCCTCTCTCCTGGGCTTGCCGAAGACCCCTCTGTCTGTGTCCTTACCTCATCGTTCCTCTGGGCACCCCCGTTCCTGGTGTCTCAGTTTGTCCAAGTCTCCTCTCTTTGTAATGACACCAGTCGGTTTAGGTCAGGATGGAGCCTAACAGCCTCGTTTCACTTAATTACCTCTCTAAAGGCTCCATCCCCAGACGCAGTCACATTCTGAGGTACTAAAGGTTACAGCTTCGACATACGAATTTTAAAGGAACACAATTCAGCCCCCAACACCTAATACAGTTTTCTTTCCACTTTTCTCTGATTCTGAGACATTTCTCTGTTTTTATTTTTTATTGCTTGGGATTTATTGAGGGTACAAAGAACTAGGTTACACTGATTGCATTTGTTAGGTAAAGTACCCTTGTAATTGTGTCCCGCCCTCAAGAGGTGTGCCATACTCTGTGACCCCCATCCCCTCCATAACTGGAGGGCTTAGAAATGCATCCAACACTTAAGCATAGCCTGGACAATGTGTTTGTCTAAATCTCTGTATAGTCCTCAGCACTCCAGATGCAACCCGGTGTGTTTATCCTCTGGTGGTATCAATATGAGGTCAGGGACTCTCATCACCAACCATTAGTGGTCTCCCCTGGTGAAACCCAGAGGTCATTTTTCCTGTCAGGCTCTTCCACACTGCTGATGTCTAATACCACCAGTCTTCTCATTACCTCTCCTTGAACATCTCCGTTCTTGGGATTTTCTTCTCATGCTCATGGCGATGGTCCTTATCTTTGGTTTCCCCATCACCCATACTTAGATTCCATCTCCTATTTTGCTACCAGAACAAAAACAGTGATGAGCCTGGCTTTTCAGCTCTAACACGGCACCTCTACAATTCCATCTGCAGTCCCGTGTTCATGATGCTCCATTGTCTTTCAAAGTCTTATCTCTGCTACCAGATCCATTAAGGATCAATTTTCTTCTTGTCCAAAACATCCTTTTCACACGCAGTTGCAGTATAGGCTGGCTTGATCTTTTTAGGTACTGGGATAGCATTTAGAGTTGTGGGTTATTCATACTCTTCCTATTCAGTTCTCTATTTTATATCTTAACTAACTCAATTTCTTTTTTTTTCTTTTTTTTAATTATTGAATGATAGCTGTGTACATTAATGCAATCATGGGGTACAGTATGGTGTTTTCATATACAATTTGAAATATTTTCATCAAACTGGTTAACATAGACTTTATGTCAATTTTCTTAGTTATTGTGTTAAGATGTTTATACTCTACTTTTAGAAAGATTCACTTGTACCCTTGTAAGACAAACCATAGAGGTGATCCCTCCAATCACCCTCCCTCTACCCATCCTTCTCTCCCCCCTTCTCCCTCCCCCTCCCTATATTCTTAGGCTATATTTAGGTTATAGCCTTCATATGAAAGCTATAAATTAGTTTCATAGTAAGACTGAGTGCATTGGATACTTTTTCTTCCATTCTGTGACACTTTGCTAAGAAGAATATGTTCCAGCTCCATCCATGTAAACATGAAGGAGGTAAAGTCTCCATCTTTCTTTAGGGCTGCATAATATTCCATGGAACTACCTCATTTTCTTATGTGACTTTTCCCATCAGCTTAAGAAGAGGATGATCCCTTTCTTATAAATTCTTTTCTATCTCAATAATGGCAATTTTAATTTCAAATGAATAAAATATTAACTTTTCTGCACATAATGTAAGAATAACTACACAGAAGACAAAGACATGTATAACTAATGACCTACAAGGTCCTTGATTATTATTATTTAAAACTATGTTTTTCTTATTTTGAATTTTTCCCCTGTTTTTGGAAATACTGTGTGGTTAGAATAATTAAATTGTTTTTTCCCTTGAGTACTGAAGGATTTAATTGCAAATGTAATTTATTAATCTGTTGTCCTAAGAAGCAGTGTCCAGGGTTGCCTGTGCCTGATCAAAGAACTTAGCCTCTTGAGTAACTTGAATATGTTTTTCTTTTTTAAAAAATAATTACAGAACAAGTTTGCAGTATGGAATTATGTGCTTGAAGAGGTTGAATTATGACAGAAAGGAACTAGAAAGAAGACGGGAAGCAAGCCAACATGAAATAAAAGGTAATACATCTTTCTTGTCTATGAAATTCCTTTTCTCCAGGATTTTTAGCCTTCACTTTTATGAACCTCGAATGGTATGGTTTACAGTGGTAATTATGTAGCATAAGTATTTAGCTGATGATGATTTTTTTCATTACTTTTCCAACTAAAATACAGAAAATGATAACAGCACATTCTAGGGTAAATAACCCATTGGAGGCACGTTTTTTATTTTTTGAATTGAAATCTACCCCTTGGAACTTGTTAATTATGCTTCTGTTTGTACTAAAGATGGCTCCATGTAGACGTTTTTGTAAACCTTCAATGGAGCATTGTCATTAAGGTTCACGGTAGTTAATTTTTGGTTTATATCATTGGAAGTTTATTTCAGTGTCAGATACTTTATTTTGGTGATACTGTATAGTTGAATAAGTCACAGAGGGATTTTATATAGAAATTATATAAGGATTTTCTCCTACAAACTAGACAAGTCCTTTAATAAATTTTAACTGGGAGTGAATTTAGGATCACTGTTAAGTGCTACAACTTCTGTGTGTGCAAAAGAATGTTTTATTTGAATAGCAAAAAGAGACACTGTAGTGTAAGTTTATTGGAAAAGTTCTGTATTTAGTGATTGACCATCTAAATGTTGAGAGGTACCTTAATATACAGATTTAAAAAATGGTTTTAAAGAAGAATATGTTAGGTGTGAAATAAGACCACAGATGCGAGAGAAAGATGGACCCCACTTCAGATGTAATTAAGTAATAGAAATTTATTAGGAATTTAATACACCTGCAGGTGCACCTATAGGGAGCTGTTGTGGTGGGCCAACAAGCAGCCTCGAATATTGGGTGAGGAGCCTTTTATACTATTATTTTGCAGGGTCAGCAAGCTAGTGCAATACAGAAGCCAATCACAGCAGTTAGCCCAATTCAATACAGCTCAGGGGTCACAAGGTAAGGGTACATCATAAGGGCTTACCCAATTCAGGGTGGGGGTATAAAATACATCACAAGTACATTACTTCATGATCATAAGATGGGGGTTACATAGGTTCAGGGGGTACAAAACAAGTGTTAGGTAAGTCTCTGAGAACAACTGGGGTCCTTTTCACCCCGGGCTTTATTGGGAATCCACCCCTCCCTTCTTCAACCCCTCCCTGCATACTTCCTTAATCTCAGGCTGTTTCTCTGCCCTTGAGAGGGCTGGGACTAAAAGGCTTAGGAGAGGCTTCCTTTTCAAGGGTAGGGGGCTCGTTCCTCACTGGTCTTAGGGAGCGGGTCAAGGGCTGGGGGCTTGGTTATTACAGGTGCTATACTTGTTGGAGATCATTATTGCTGTTGCTGAAGCGTAAATTGTTGGGTATAAGATGCAACATCTGAAGCCCTTTCGATAAAAATCATCTACTTTTGTTGTTTGAAGAAGAAAAAAGGCTCATGAAAGAAAATATCACCAAACATTTTAAGGAAAGTGTGTATTCTGAACTATTTACCAGTTATATTTCCATTTGGGCATGTGCAAACACTATCAGGTTCAGTGAGCGTCCTTACATTACATCGATTTTTCAAAGTTAGGCATGAGTCTCGGTATTCATCTTCACTTCTTTCAGGGCCTACTTACTTTAGATAAGAAAACAGTACATATTGCATGTCCTCACCCTCCCAGTAGTAAAATTTAACACTGTTTATTCTTTATTCAATATTACCTACCTTAGGCTTTTATCACTTCAATATGTGATGAACAATGCCAGAAATTCCTGTTATTTTTGGCAGTTCTTGGACAGTACATTAGTTATAATAGAAGGGGCTTGAATGCATGTGAAATTGATTGGTTAAAAATATTTTCTGCATGGGTGCTCTGGAGCACAGACAGAAACACAATGGCATTCCTGTAACACTTCATTTGACTTCCTACTTAGGAGCAAGAAAGTATTCTTCCATTAGCAAAATCAAGCTGTTTGATTTCACTTTATTTGGGGGCTCCAGGAAATTACAGGTTATTTTCAGTTCATTGTTGTTCAGTTGAATTGAAATCAGGGAACTAATGAATCCAAGATAGACCCCAGAAGGAAGTCTGCCTTTGACCAAACAAAGGATGTTTTAGTACACATATCGATTTTGCCCATGGGATACCACTTTCTGGTTTTCTTTCTCGAGAACTTTTTCCAATTAGATTTTATTATGCCTAGGCTCACCACATGAAAAGCTTCACTCACTGACAGATCTAAAGGGGAAAAGTTACCTATTTGGCCCTACACCAAATGCTATATTGCTATTTGGCAATTGCTGGGTAGAGTGTAGCCCCGAGAAGAAATTGCTGTGATTCACTGTGATTATACAGAAACAGCTCCATAGGATAAGTAGCTGTGAGTGAGATCACAAACAGCCTGTTTCCTCTAATGGATCTGATGACATTTACAGGAATAACTATCAACTGTGGCTGGGGGTCTCTGTCATTATATGAAGTGTTAATTAACCTTGACCTTAATGAACGGTTTTCTGAGGTGAGAAGACCATGTGAATATCAAGAATATGCTAACATTTAATTTGTTGCTAGGAAACAAGTCAATACTGATGTCTAAGCATTTATTGTTAGGTCAAACAAATTGTCCTACAAAGCTTTAAAGTCAAGGCATCCATTATGCTTGGAAACAGATTAACAGAACACAGTCTAATTGACAGAATTAGAAAAGAACAACATACCTTGTTCTGAAGAGGAAAAGTTTGGATTTGTGCTGCATTTTCCTTCATGCCAGAAATGGATTACTTTATATATTTGATCACTCTTAAACACAGGTGCACCAGTGGAATTTTTAATGGGCGTGTTCAAGTATTTGCAGAAGGATGATAACTCCATCGTACGTCTTACATATCAAAATATAAACCCAGCCCCCTAGCTCTACAAAAAACAAATACTTCCTATTCAAACATCCATCTAGTGCAAAGAAAACTGGAAATTTTTTGTTGTTTTTTAAATATCCCGTTGATTTAAGAAAATGTTGTTTTACTAAAATTAAGTGGAGAACTGTTGCTTTCATCCATACCTACCTCTCCAGCTTTTGAAGTGCAAGTGTCCTGTAATTAGAGGTTATGAAGGATCAGCTAATATCCATAACATCTGATAATACAGCCAAAATACAATACCAACTGACTCATCTTCTGAGTTCTAAAACTTCAGTGGAATAAGCAACTAAAAACACAGAGGAAAATCTCTCTGCACTTCGATACTGACCCAGGGTGGCAGTGAACACGTCTGACATAGAATTTCCAAATATAGTAAAGATCACTAAAGAAGTCCTTTGTTCCGTGGGGGAAAAGGAGGCACAACTCTGGGGGGGGAGGGACAAATGTCCGACTTCCTGTGTGTGTTAGGAAAATAAGTGACAGAAAGGAAAAGTTTAACATAGCCGGAATCAGTAGGTTATTTCTATAATTAAATGGAAATTTGAAAACTAGAAAGCGTAAAAATTTCAAAACTCAATGGTTTTATTTTAGAAGGGATGTTTCATAAAATAAAGATAGATCACTTGAAAATTTCTGGTCTGCAATCGGCAAATAAACACAAGAATAAAAGATAAAAAACAGATCATTTGGGACATACTGAGCATAACAAGGTAAGGGACAGTGAAAGAGAAACAAGATTTAAAACTATTGAAGTCTCTGGTGGAGAATTAAAAACAATAATAAGGTATGCAGTAAGCCACAGATGTGTCACCCGACAAGAGATTAAAAAGGAAAAGGAAACAAAACACAACACATTGTCTTAACGTTGCTGAAAACCATGACCTCCATGCTCTAAAAATCTAAGAATCTGCCCCAGTAAAGTCCACATTGCTTTTAAAAGAGCAACATAAAAGTCAGCCACTTCTTGTGATCCTAGCACTGTGGGAGGCCGAGGAGGGTGGATTGTTGGAGCTCAGGAGTTCTTGAGACCAGCCTGAGCAAGAGTGAGACCCCTTCTCTACTAAAAATAGAAAAACTACCATAGTCTAGTTCAGGGGTTGAGGGAAGCGGGAGGCAGCAGGGGGAGGATGTTTGGCAGAAGGAGGGAGGGCAGGAGGTGGGATCTCAACTAATGTGCACAGGCCCATGGTGTATAACACGCTCCCTGAGTGAGGGCCTCTTCTACAAATAGAACTTTACACTGAAAGTGAAAGCAATGTAACCTAAAAATTGTACATCCATAACAATTTGAAAAATAAAAAAAATACTCAAAAAATAAAATAAATAAATAAAAATAGAAAAATTAGCTAGGCGTTGTGGTGGGTATCTCTAGTCCTAGCTACTGGGGAGTCTGAGGCAAGAGGATCACTTGAGCCCAAGAGTTTGAGGTTGCTGTGAGTTATGACACCCCAGCACTCTACCCAGGGTAACAACGTGAGACTCTTTCTCAAAAACAACAACAACAAAAACAACAACAACAACATGAGATACTGGATGTAATTCAACTAAAGTAATGTTATAAGAAAACTGAATGATATTCTTTAAAATACAGACTCAAACTTACTTCTGAATTAGAAGTGACTATGCCGGCTCTGTGCCTGTGGCTCAAGCAGCAAGGACGCCAGCCACATACACCGGAGCTGGTGGGTTTGAATCCAGCCCGGGCCTGCCAAACAACAGTGACAACTATAACCAAAAAATAGCCAGGCATTGTGGTGGGCACCTGTAGTCCCAGCTACTTGGGAGGCTGAGGCAAGAAGATTGCTTAAGCCCGAGAGTTGGAGGTTGCTGTGAGCTGTGATGCCATGGCACTCTACCCAGGGTGACAGCTTGAGACTCTGTCTTAAAAATAAATAAATTTAAAAAACCAGAATTGGCTATGCCCATCAACACTCTCAGACAAACAAAATCTGAGAGAATGCTTCACCAGATAAACCAAATAGAAAAAAAGTTTTTAGGATGAGTTATTTAGGCAAAAGGTACATGATCCTAAAGATACGAAACACACAGATAGGGTGGAGGAGAAACTAGAAAACTGTGTGGGTGAATTTCATAATAATAAAACAACAAGCACGTCTGCAGGGCTCCAATGTAATACCCCAGGCAGGAAGGGAGTAAATAAAACTAAATTGAAGGTCTTTGCCTCACCTAGAAAATGATTAAAAGGCTCATTCATAAGCCCAAGAAGGATGCATATCATAAGCTTTAAATGGACTAAATCACATGTGAACTAAAGACAAGAAGGTAGTAATAGAGTAGTAGAAAAAAAAAAGACAGCACATAATGAAAAGGCAGGGAAGAAGGGGAACCCAGGACAGGGAGGACAAATACACAGCTGGTAGATTTAAACTTCAACACATGAGTAATAATATTAAGCGGGAGTGGCCGAGCTAATACAATGAAAAGACATGAAAAAATATATTGAATGCAGTGGACACACTTTAAATACAAGAACATAGAAAAGGTAGAAGGAAGAGAAACATATGCAAATAATAAGCAAAGCGGCTGTGATTCTTCTAACAGAATACCGACTTTAAGGCAAGAAACATACTAGAAATACAAAATAATAAAAGAGGAGGTGATAGCAAATTTATATGCATCGAATACACAGATTTAAAATATGAGAAGCAAAAATCAACAGATCTGAAAGTAGTGGATATTTTCATAATGATTGTGGGAGTTCCTGGTCAAGCCACATGAAATACCAATGGTATTAGTTTGTTTGGGCTGCTGTAACAAAGTACCATAAACTGTGTGACTTAGGACGCAAAAGAAAACCACTGTTTCACGTTCTAGAGGCTGAAAGTTTGAGACGGAGGTTTTGGCAGGGTTGGCTCCTTCTGAAGGCTGTGGGGAAGAATCTGTTCCTCTTCTCTCCCTCAGCTTTTGGCAGTTTGCTGGCGATCTCTAGAGTTCCTGGGCTTGTAAGACTGTCACCCTGATCACTGGCTTCATCCTCACACACAGTTCTCAATGTGCGCGTGTTTATTTCCAAATTTCTCCTTGGAAGGAGGATTCCAGTTATATTGAATTAAGGGCCCACCCTAATATTAACATCATTTAAATTGATCATGTCTATGAAAATTCTATAACCAAATAAGGTAGGTACTGAAGTTCTGGGAGTTTAGGGCGAACACAGTTCAACCAATAACACCGCATATCTACCATAATGGCTCAAAAGAACAAAACACAAGTCCAAGGTGAAGAATACGAAGTACTAGTGAAGGTGTAGATTTCCATACATTACTAGTACAGGGCTAAACTGTGAGAGTGGAATTTGTTTAGCAGTATCTTCTAACCTTGGATATATGTGTGCTCTGCAACGTAACAATTCTACTACTTGTTATTTACTCAACTGCGATATGTAAATGTACAAAAATACACATGTATAACAACAGGCAAAGTAGCACTATCCTTAATAACCCAAAGTGGAATTCACCTGAATATCCATCATTGTGGCGTAATCAGGCAACAGAATACTAAATAAATAGCAATGGAAACAAACAGCTCACCGCTATTTGTCAAACACAGATGAATCCCACACTGAGTGAAATACACACACAAAAGTACATCATGTATGATGTCATTTATAAGAAGCTAAAAATATCAGGCACAACTAATCTGTAATGAAAGCAGTCAGAATATTGGTTACTGTTGGATGAGGGTGGTAATTACAAAGGTGCATGAGAGGACCTCTGTATTGCTTTAATATCTGCACAAGAAAACCTAAGTTGGTTATAAATAAATACACAATGAAAAATTAATTATGCTTTTGAAAAATTTAAACAATATAAAAATACATAGCTTCTCGACCCCCATATACATTTCTGATTATGCAGACAATTCCGACAAGAGAAAATAAACTTTGGAAGTTGAAGGATATTGCCAAAATTACTTTTCACACTTTTTCTGCATAAGTGTACAATTTTCATTCATTCAGAAAGAAACACTAACAGGAACCTTTAGTTCCTTTTATTTTTCTGTAGATAGTTTATTTTTCTTTTATATAGTTTCTTATAT